TCGGGGGATGAATTATTATCTATACACACACGTTGTGCCCACGATTCTGCCCCATGTGCGCCATCAATCGCGCTGCGCGATTGATGGCGCACCATGGGAGGAATAGTGACAGCCCCGTGTTAGTAGTAACACCCGCACCGGTTGACTCAACAACACTTGGAATAGCCATATTAGGTGATAAGGTTTCTGGGCGAGTGAGATTCGTCCATACGCGCGCCGCGCGCGAACACGTCCTCCCCAGACAGTTACTAATTCAATGATTGTAGTGCAAATATCAAAAGTGTTATACTTTTATGAAAGATGGGGTATCATTGAATACGTACCAAGGTAGAACTTCATCATTTAGCTTCTTGAGCTTATCAGTAGAGCGCCATACACTAGCGAAGCACGGTTGCCTTCTATCTCAACAATAAGGAGGCCTTCGGGTGAGGAGAATCACTCGGACATCGTCCGAGTGATGTGAGTCAACAACAGTTTTCCTTTCCTCTGGCCGCCAGAGTCTGGCGATTCTACAGTCACTCCCTCGCAACGAAAAACATCCCATATCACACAGAAACCAAATCAGACACTTATAAAACACCAAACACTCGTTCAGCATTTTCACTCGTGATCTTCGCAACTTCATCGCGATCTCTTCCGAGAGCTCTCGCCACTCTCTCCAAAACAACGTCAATCAGCCCACTATCGTTGATTCCTTCACCAACAGCATCTAAGAGGGCGAAAAAAATATCAGAATTTTTTTTTACCGATTCTAACCCAGTTGTGCGTCATTGATTTCCAAAGGCATTTGATCAGGGCTATCAGTTTCTATCAACAACCGATCACTCGGAATCGCCTTGGTGACTTCCACCAGACTCTTTTCACTGGGGCTTCGGGCAGAAATGCTGAAATAAGCTCCTGAAAATAACGGGAAATTTTTTTGTCATTGTTTGACGAAATTTTCTTACGCTTTCCTGTACATTTGCAGAAATCTCTCACCAACTCGGCGCTTCCACCGTATCTGATCATGGCAAGAAAACGTTTATTCACTCGTGATATGAGAAACAATAGTGAAAACATATTTCACATTTCACTTGGCGAGAAACGGGTGAAACTCCGTTATATGTCGAATTTTCCCTCGACATAACGTAGTATATTAAAAATGAATTTAATCATTCGAATAAACCAAAATCTCAGCGTGGGGAGGAAACATACACATTGTCAACTACATGTGTTGGTGATGACAATATGAAAATTCTGGGAGGAAATTTTGGTAAATTCTCCTTGGTTTTTGTGCTGCACTTCTACCCAAATTTGTATATAAACTCCTGAGCTCAGTCCTATCCGTATGAGTGTAACGAATGCACGCACGCACATCTAGCTGACTCTAGCAGCGGACCATGTTAGATTATCCCTCGACAAACTAACTTGATCGTTGCAATTATTTCCCATCCCTCCCTCTCCTTACGAATGCAACACTATAGCGGGTATTCTCTCATCCGTATTTTTTAGAATGTCCAATAGCACTCCATATGCTCTCACACAATGAACCGAAACCGGCCGAGAAAATTCAGCGGCTAACCCCAGCTGCTGCTGGAAAACCTTCAACTGTATCGCCATGGGAATCTGAAGGGAAAAATTGGAAAGAAAATCCAAAAAATTTTTCCTACTTTTTTCGCTCTAATTTTGTCGATGCCGATTTCCCCGACACCAAAACTTGGATTTTTACGGAGAATTTCCCGCATTTTTCCCACCCACTCTGAATATCCGTCACCAAGGTCATCTACCATATTTTCTGTAACATACCACGGATGAATGCCAACTTGTGGTTTATACAGAGAGTGATCGAGACGAACGGTCTGAGGAGGTAAAACACAGGGGAAAATAAATTTTTGCCGAAATTTTCCGTAAAAACGAGAGAGTTTTCCGAATTTCTCTTGGTAAAATTTCCATTTTTTTGTTGGAATTACTTTTATTTTCCGGTATAATTTCCCCGAAATTTTCCATTTGTATTATCTAATTCCTTCCACGAATATTGACAAAATTTCCCTCGCTGAATTTTCCCCAAATTTTTCCAAAAATTTCCCTCACCTTTTCCCAGTCTTCCGGCCCAGTACTGCACGCAACCACCATTTTAACGCCAATCGTATCACATCTTCTCTTCAAGTCGCCAGCGCTGATAAGCTCCGTCAATTTCCTCATTTGCGGGTGCCCATGAGCGTCTACCATTTTCCTCGCCATTTAGTATTTTCCATAAATCTGTTTCCATTACTTTCGTGAATTGAACCAACGTGGAAAATTTGGAGAATTTTTGTTGGTTTTTGTACTGCACTTCTACTACCCGAATTTGTACGTAAACTCCTGAGCCCAGCCGAGGAAAGCGAACATATATTCCTACTCCAACACTGGAGTTTCACCCGT